GTATCTGTCACATACAATTGATACTTCAGGTCCACTGACTTTAATCCCATTATTTTCATCCCTTGTATTTGAGAAAAATATGTAGCTCACATACATGTATATATAAATCACAATGGACCACATAAACTAATTATGAGCTTATATGTTTTCCCAATTCAGAAATATTGATTTAGTCTGACCCCATGGTTTTAAGGAGTGAAGAGGAATCTTATTCCTGAAATGTCTGACTGGTGCAGTTAGACATTTCATTGCTTTTCCAGAGAAAGGAGTCATTTGAAGCTCCAGGTAGATCAATATGTAGCCCACACAGTTAATGTTAATTCACTGTTATAAACTGTAAGATACATTTACTGAGTTTTGATTTCATAAAATCATATAGTCATTTAGGTTGCAAGGAACCTTGTGAAAGTCCATAGTTCAACCTGATGCATAAAGCAGAATTAGCACCAAATTTATCAAGGTTGTTGAATGCTTTGACTAGTTCAGTAGTGAAAATCTCCTTGAAGAGACACATCACATTTTCACTGGGAAATCACACCAGTGCTTAAATACACTCAGTGAAATAATATCATCCTTATATGCAGTCAGAAAATGGTCTCTTCCAGTTTACAACCAGACACCTTCATCTTCTGGTAATTTTCCTTGGTACAGGCAGGCTGTTGTCAGGTGCCCCAAAGCTGCCCCTGGTCTGATGCAGCTGGTCTGATGTCTGATGATGTTCTCCTGTGACTGTAGGGATGGCCCTGGACATGGAGGAGGCTGCCCTGGGAGGCTTTGCCAGCTTCATTTGGCTCTTGACAATGCTTTCCATTACACCCAGCTCAGCCTAAGACCTGTGGTGGATGCTGGATTTAATGACATTGGTTTGCAGGTTTTTTTCTGTCTGGTTTCTGTCTGTTTGTTTTTTGGCATATTTTAAATCATAACTTCAATTGGGAAAAAACATTATGAGGAAGACACATCAGAGAAGTCAAAACATATTTAACTGATAAATGCAAACCAGAATGTACCATTAAAAAGAATAGTCCTTTTTTCTGTTTAGTGGTATGAGTATATGATATTTCTTTTGATATTCTCATTTTTGCTAAGGAAACTAGAAAATAATTCATTTAGCACTGGCTGAGACATTTTTATTTGGCTGTTATCCTCTTTGGCTGGGTCTGTTTGCATGATAATTTCAAAGTGATTTGAGTTCTGAAGTGCTGAAAATGAGCCTGTTTTATCTGTGCCTTTCACTGCTTTCTGCAAATCTGGAAATGTGTTTTTGATAGAGAGAGGATCAGCTCCAAATCATAAAACTAAATAACCCTTCAAACTTTAGGGAATTCAAGCTGCCAACCAGACTTCAATCCTGAGTTTGGTAAATGTCAACACCCTTCCTTGGGCAGTGAAGCAGAGTGAAGGAAGAAGTGTTAAATAGGATGGGGAGCTGCCTTAATTACTTGAATATTTTTAATTTTTTTTTTCCAGGAGATACTTAATTCAGGAACACTTGGTTATTTCAAATCTTGTGACCCTACTTAGCTTTCTAAGCTGGTGCTTTGGTTAGATGGAGAGAAGTTAAAAGACAGCTGCTGATGAAGCAGCACGGATGTGATGTGACTACAAAAATGACAAAAAATTGTCCCATTCTCATTCATAATTTATAAGTATCTAGAATTCTACAAATATTCTTTGAGACAGTGACTTCATCTAAAATGACAGTTCAAATTATGTTAGTGTATGGCTGCTCAATCTGATTTGGAATTATGGGTTTGTTTATCAACATTAATTGGATTAAATTACCTGCGGTGAAATATAAGCCCTTTGAGAAAAAGCAAGTCTTGTCCTGATGGCTTTAGCAGTGTTCAGACAGACTTTGTTTTAAAGTAGCATAAGGATGAGTGTGAACACATTGTGGGTATGAAACATTTTCAGGGAGTGGTGAGAAGGGGCAGTGCTTGGTCTGGAAGGGGGTTTTTGCTGCCAGACATCCCAGGTGAAGAGCAGAGCCCCAAGCAGGGTGTGACATTGTGAAGCAGGGGCTGGGTCAGATGCAGAGGGATTTGGGAACCCGTGGGACAGTGGGATGGTGGCACCCTGTGAGCCCCATCCCCAAGAAAGGGTCAGAGCAAGGCAGGGCATCCAGTGAAAAGGAGCAGCATCAGGACAATGCAGGCACAGCCTTTCAGGAAACTGAGTGCCCAGAAATTCATTGCCTGGAAAGAGGGACATTGATGGGACAGGGTGACTCCATGGACCGGCACTTGCAATCCTCCCTATTTGCAACTGATACTGTAAAGCTTGTGCAGTTTATGTGGAATCCGTAACTTGATGTTTCTAACTTGGATGTGCTCTTACATGCAAACCATTTCTTCTAAAATATCCTGGCTCTGTTTTGCCTTTTTGATGCAAGTAAATTCTTACAGTCTGTATTTCATGCTCATCTTTGCACTGTGTTCAATCAATGAACAGAAATAATCCCCAGACTACAGCATTTTGGTCCTTCTTGGTTACTAGCTGAGAAAGCTGAAGGCATGAGCTGTGTTACTGGTACAAAGATTGGAAATATGAGAAGGAAATATCTCTTTGGATAAATTAGCATTGCCATAGCTGTAGTTGTAAAACTGGTTGAGGTGACCTGAGTAATGAATTTTTACTCAGCCTCTAACAGAATGTAACCTTTCAGCAAACAATTCAGATATTGCTAAGCAAAGATGCTGAACCCATCCAGCAATACACTCTGTGGGTAGAGCTTCACCTCACTGCCTGCTTGTCATATGGTTCATATTGACAAAGGGTAGGGCACAGCCTGGATAAACCACTGGAGTCACGCTGCAGAGCCACTCTAGCAGCCTCTTCTCTTGAGCTGTGGCTGAATGTGCCAGTGTGCACCTGCCCAGCTCCAATGCCTTCTGACCACCCTGGGATGCCACTGCTGGCTACTGCAATGTTACTAGTGGCTAGATACGCTTTTATTCCAACAGCATGATTGCTGTAATTTAGCTAAGTATTTTTCTTACTCCAGGCCATTCTTTTTCCACTGTAAAAGTCTGCAGCTTTGTGCAGGAAATGTATTTTTTCAGGACAGTTACCAGCATTTCCTGTCATACACATTCATATGTTACTGACAGGAATTTCATTACCTCTATGTCAATTCACACTAATTTATTCCATTGTGTAGATGAGCATCTTATTTCATAATGCCACACCAAGGGTCAGTTCATTCTGACAGCCTGATGCTGTGAGAAGATCTTGAGGCTTCTATAAAGTGCATGAAGTCTTGTGCACTTACTGGTCAGAGAAGGAAACTTCCAGGGGCCGCTGTAGCATAAAATGACTGGCAGAGGTGAAGGCAGGCTGCAGAATAGAGGTCATGAAATAATCATTAAATAAGATCAATAGCTACTTGCCATGCAAATTCAATGGGTAACGCTCATTGATGTAATTTCCTGCAATTTTCATATTTAATACTGCAATTCAACCAGATAACCAAAAGTCTTCACTCCTAAAAAAAATGCAGTTCATTGTTTCATCATTCTGTGTATCTCATGCTTTCTTTTCTGTCTATAACTTTCCCCTTCTCATCTTTGAAAAGCTCCCTAAAAAAATTATTCACTCTGGCTCCTAGCAATTCCTGTCTGAAGTACTGAACAGAAGCTGTTAGATGAGTACTGTGAATTGTGCAAGAAATGGCTCTGTAAGTGCAGAGGAAACAACAGGAGACAAATTTACCTTAAAAACACAACATAATTTAGAAACAAATGTCCATTAACCTATAGTTAGGTGAAACCATACTTAAAGTGTTTGTCTTACTAAAGGGTGTTGCTAAAGAGGAGCTGCTAAGAGCTTGGTAGTATCTGAGCACCTTCATGTATCACAGTTCCTTAATTAGAAATAGCTTGATTATTGCAGGGCACACTTACAAGAGCTGTGGTTTTGGAGCATTAATGTATTTGCTTGGTTTATGTTGGAACAACAGTTTCCCAGGAGACTGTGTGCTGCCATTTGTGTGGAAGAAAAGAGAGAGAGGAGCCCAGAGCCCAGCCCACAGTGATGGACTCCTGTTAGAAGTGGAGCTGGTTGTTGTACAGCCATTGTAAGATATTGTTTTGTTATTTGTAACTTTGTGGAACTCACACTGGGGTGTTTGATTATCTAGCAGTGATAATATAAAGCAGCTGGGGTGTCATTTCTCCTCATCACAGAGGGGAAGTGGTATGAAAGGGAAGCATTTTTCCTGACAGTTGATCTTTGATCTTTATTTGTCATAAACTGGGGGACCCTGAGACTAGTCATGCACATTTTCTCTTTAGGTTTTTTGAAACTAACAAAAAACTCTTCCTCTCTGGTCTCTTTGTCATTTTTTTGTCTTGATGTTGCTTCCTTTTCCAGTTTAAATTCTATCACACCAAGGCAGAGCTGAGAAGATGGGATTGGGCCCATTCACTGAAGTCTGTTTCCTTGTACTGAACATGGGACAGGGAAATAACTGTAATTTAATTCATTTTCATAAAGTCTATTTCACTTGTTGGCTGAAACCAGCCAGCAGTAGGTACTTCATAACTTTCCTCAAACCTGAACTTCCAAATATCCTGTGATAGGTATTTACCCTTTTCATCCATCCCCTCATGGTGTTTGGAGGCCAAAAGAACATATTCTCCACACATTCTCCATGTAAGAAATTATCCAGTGTTGTCACAGCTTTGGTGCCAGCAGTCTCCTCTCTGTCAGGCTCTCTTCGCCTCAGGACAGCTTTGCAATGGTGTTCAACACAAACTTGACCAAGGACCAAGGAGAAAAGAGAAGCAACTACTGTTCAGAGCCTTTATTCAAGGAAGAGAATATCTCTGTTGTAAATACACCATAACATGACTTGAACTACAAGGTTTGTGAAAAAGAGGAGTAAATATGGGCATTAAACTTGCCCTTATTTTGGTTTTCTGTTTCTCTCTTCAAAAAAAAAAAAAATACCTCATGCAAATGGAATACAACCTTAACCATGACCTCTGTATTTTCAGGGATTAAGCATCTGAAGAGTCAGAGTGACTCAGTGTTTCCAGAAGAAGAGGAGGGAGTTGGCGAGAGGGAAGAGGAGTGGGGCCATTAACCAGCACAGGGCGGCAGAGCCCAGTCCCGGAGAGTGACGGAGCTGCCCCTTGGCCCCACCATGCCCTGCCCGCTCCTGTGTCCAGGGGGCTCTGCAGGCACTGCACACGTGTCTGGTGACCCTTCTTCCTGGAGACAAAACAGTTATTTTAAAGTCATTTTTTTCCTTTTCTTTTCTATGACTTAGAAATGTTATTCGCAAATGTGTTAGCTCCCTGACGTCAGTACTGCCAGAGCTTAACTACTGCGTGTGAGCTGTATCTAAGGCTTCTTGTAAATAAAGGTGATTTAAAAGGTACAAAATAAATAATACATTAATTTAGACAAGATTGTCTATTGTACAGAGGGTTTGTCTTGCTACAGAGAAATGTTCATATAAAATGATCCTTTCGGTTAAGGGCAGTTTTTACCATTGTTGGAAAAGTTACTTGCAGTGATGTGGACAGAAGAAAGGTGGCGAAGTAAGCAGAGGTGACTGTCTAGAGAATGATGCAAAGACACCCTTCCCTGTGTTCCCTGGGTATGTGACACTTAAATACTTGTCTTGATTTTGGTCAGACGCTGCCTTGTCACAGCAGCCAAAAGGACTTCTCTCTACACAAGACCTCTGTTATGTGGAGGCATTCAGTGTGGGAGTGAGGAGCACGGGCATGTGCAAGGCCTGGGAGCGAGGTCCCAGCCCCAGCTGAGCCATGGCAAGTGCCACATCCCCCCTTGTCACCTGCAGCAAGGACAGGTCACAGCCCTCCTGCCCTGCACCCGGCTCAGCCTGAGCCAGTGACTGACAGCACAGCAAGCTGCACAAATTCATTTGTGTCTGAGTCCCAGGGTTTTGGCTGAAGTCAGCATGGTTCATTTTCATTTTTTAGACCATGTAAACCTTATGGCATGAAATGGAATAAGGTAGAGAAGGAAAACAATGTTTCTTCAGAGTGACACTTAACAGATTATTTCAATTTTTCAATCAATGGTAGATTTTTAAATGAATTCACTGTCATTTTGTATTAACTGTTTGCCTTTGATATTTTATCCTCAGTTTAACTTTCCACTGCTGCAAGGCTCTTTTAAAGGGTTGTGCTAAAAAAAAATAAATAAAAATAAAAAGAAAGAAGGGATGAAATATAGGAAAATACAGAGCCTTTTGTCTATACCTTGCATGGTGATTTCAGTCTCAATCTGAGGTCTTCCACGAAGACCTGCTAAGAACAGGATCTGTCAACTAGTGTTTATATTTGAGAGCCATTTTTTTCCCTCCATCTGTATCTCTGTATCTGTCCTCTTTGGTTCCAGTTTCTGTAGAAACACTGCACACAGGATCCATGACTCCAGCTCAGCAAGGGTGTGCAAGAAGGACTAAAGAAGGACTCTGCAATTATACAGGAGCCACTATAGGACCTACAGGACTGAGAGCTTTTTATGCCCCAAACAAGAAAAAGAAGGAAATGACCCTTCAAAAACCATTTGAATGGCCCCAAGTCAGGACTGGAATGGCAGCAAGAAGAGCTGGGCTCAGGTCCCAGCTTTGCCATGGCTTTGCTTTCACACAGCACCAGGCTCTTCACAAAATTGCTTGTTGCCACAGTACTCCTAAGGTGTGAATCAGACGTTGGTGTTTAACCTCACACCATCTCTCTGTGTTGCTAGCTAATAAAGCACTTTGGATATTAATGGCTTTTTGCTGGTTATTAGTACCCACAGGCTGCAGATGAGAAATGTCTAGAACTTGGGAGCAAATGGAAGGACGGACATGATTTATAACACTTGACATCCGGACGAGGTATTGAACACTGTGGAATCTCAGCAACACACAAAGCACCTGATGGGAGCTTGGAGAATTCATCACTGAACATGCTGCTTCAGGTTGACTGTTGAACCCAAGTATAATTACACTTTATAAATAATAGGGAAAAAAATCCCACCCAGATTTAGTTTGGACTGTATTTGACTTACAGAATGGTATATGTTGTTTATTCTCCAAGTGCAAAATGAGATAATACTTAAGTAGATATTAAGAGTCAAGATTTAAAACTCCTTTTTAAGCATTCTAAAGTATGGTCTCTAAAGCATACTTTCCACAGAAGTCAGAGGAATTCTGCTTGAGAAAGACCACAGGTTTTGGCTGAAACATATTTTCCTTTGGGGAAATACATCATGTAGTGTACAGGAGAAGTTATATTATCCTGCCTCTTTTTTTTTATTATTTTTTTTATTTTTTTTAATTTTTTTAATACAGGTATAACTTCTGTTGAAGTCTTTTAAGGATTCCCTTCTTCTCACAGTACCATTATTTCTCCCCGGTAATGTAAACTGAAAAATCTCCATTAGTTCTTGCACAGTTGGTGTTATTTGACTAAAAATATCACATCCAACACTGACTCCGAGGCAGGGCTGCAGGAGAGGTTCTATTGCCTGTGCTTGGGTGAGGGCCTCCTGGGGTCCAGGCAGTCAGTAAGGAAGGACTTCCAGTTCATCTGCACTTCCTGTAACATCAAGGGCCAGGCTGGTGGTGGTTTTCAGTCTTTAAAAAAAAAACATTTCTTTTGCTTCAGGAGGTGAAGCATTCAGAAGAGAGCTCAGGCTCTCTCCTGAGCTGGCCTGGGAAGGCTGTGACGGTTGTGGGGGGACCCAAGCAGGGCTCCTGCAGGCTGCAGGTCTGCCTTTGTACAGCTGGCACTGTACAACAAAATGTTTTGCTCAGTGAGTGCAGGGCTCCCCTCCTCATTTCTTTTCTCTTGAGACAAGTTTTTTTTCATGAGGGACCTTGGTCCTGCAGAAAATAAGGTATTGTCTGTCTGCTAACCCTGGGGGGACAATATAAGAGCATATTTAAAACATGCTGTCCCTCAAACTCCCCTTTCTTCCTCTCCTATTGCATCCATGTTAGTGCCCAGGCCCACAGATGTTCTTTTTTCATTCTTTTTATTATTTTTTCTATAGCAGTTCAGCACAAGAGCGAGCTCCAGAAAGAGCCTCAGTTGTTCTGTTGATTCCTGACATGTGCAATTACATTTAACCTTTTCATGCACGGCATTATGCTTGGCAACTGAGTGGATGCTAAATGCCGTCTGCTTTGCCGTATTCTCTTCTTTATCCTCCAGTGAGGACAGCAGCATTCTGAGCAAATCTCAAGCAAGATATTTGTGCACCCTCTGCTAAACCTCAGGCTGCTTGATAAGATGCTACTAATCTCCAGTTTCATCAAAGTGGGCTGATGGAGTTTATGCAAGTTCAGTGTCTGTATTCTGCTATAGATTTTCTGTGTTTTTATTAAATAATCCTGGGGGGTTAGGGCAGAAAAATAGTTTGGTATTTCTGCTAGGCCATACACAATTTTGTAATGATTCATTTGCCTAGTATATACTGACCCTTAGTGGTACACTGAGATTTTAATTGCATTGCCAAGTTTCTAAATTTTGCTTTTCTCTTTGGCCCAACTGTTCAGAAAATGGCATGAATATTTGCTGTGCATCAGGATAGTCTATCTATGTAAATAGCCCACAATGTCTTCAACAGACATTAACAGGCATGTGAAAATAATGATGACAGGTGTTATTAGCTCTTCTGAAGGGAGGGCTGTGGGAAGCAGGAGTGTCGAAAGGTTATTCCAAAATGCAAACCAAAAATGCTGGCATTGAGAAGCAATACTCTCCACATAATGAGAAACAAATAAGAACTCAGTATCTGGCACTAACGAACACCTCAAGCTAACTGTGGAATGAGTATTAATTAGGTTTCCAAAATAGCATCTTTCTGAAAAGCAGCTGAGGTGTAATATTGCTCCTTATTAATCAAAGCAATGGGACAATGTGAACTCTGCAAAAAATAAATGGTTTGCAGATGGCTGTGTGCATCTTTAATAATGACAGAAGAACACAAGTTACAGCTTTAAATGCCAGGGACCCTTTCTGCATCTTCTCCTTTTCAGAGAGCGATATTTGCAGTTTTCAAGGCAGTGAGGAAAGTGTGTTGGTTTCTTATTACATTTTCCCTGCAGCATAAATTCTGTTGATGTGCTTCCCTAATCATTCTAATTATACTGCCATATGTTGCTCTCATCTTTCTTTTTCTCTCCTAATGGGACATAGATTCTCTCTTTTGAATATGTCATTTGTTTATTACATTTATCAAGGGTTTTAACATTATATGGGACTTTTAATTGCTTTTTTAAACACTCAGCAGATTGAATATTAAAAACAGACATGAAGGTCAACTATAAATAATATTTAAATTGCTCATGACATTTTTATTCTCTAATTTACTGGAAATATCAACTCTGTAGTTGGAGCGACTCATGCTCCTCTATCTACTATTTACTTGAAACCACACAAATGTCCTCCAGAGCTACTCTGGCTGCAGTCACAGCTCTGCCCTGCCCCAAACCACCTTGTGCCTAGCAGAATAGGAGTCATCCCCAGGTGGGAAGGCTAAAATAAAGAAGCATCATGCTTTGTATTAAAATGTTTGACGCAAATATGTTGCCATTAATTCCAGTTGTGAACTGCTGCTGAACCCCAAACAATAAATGTGAACATTCATTTCTGACAAGTAAGAAAAATATGGTTCTCTCTCAAAGCTGAGCAGTCTCAAAGATAAGGAAGCACAATTTCATTTAAAGAATTCAAGATGGTTTAACTTTTAAAGTTGAACATGTGCTTTGTACAGAGTCATTAGACCCTCAAAGTACCCTGCACTGCAGAAACCATAATCTGTAAGCTAGCTGAACACAGAGAAAGCAAGAGACAACCAATTACTATCCAATTAACAGATTAATTTCTTGTAAAATGACATAATCTCTCTTGGCTTTCATGGAAATGCATCATAGGTAAATTTGACCCTTTGGCTCATTGAATTTTGATTGAGATAATCATATCAGGTTTTATACAAATAATTAGCCAATACTTTCATGTAACTTGATGTTTATTCATGGTATTAAGATACAAGTCCCACAGTCTTTCTTGCAGGTTCAGGAGTGTTCCTTGTAGGTGCCCCAGCATTAGTTGCCATGTGGTGATGAGACAGCTTTAAAACTACAGTCCAAATAAAAGTGAAGAAACTTCTATTCTGCTTAACTGTTCTATCTTAAAGCCAAGATTGTACCTACCATTTTGATTTTTACCCCTTATTTAGCTACAACTTTGTTACTTCTGGTTTGTAATAATGACCTATACAGGATGTTGCAAATGCATAAAACTCAATAGCTTTAAAGTTCATATACCATGTAATCTGTCAGAAAAGCTGAGTTTTTTGAAGATATTATCTGTCCAAGTTCAGCTAATTAAGTTCCCCAAAGATTCTCCACCCAAAGGCCATAAGCAAAGAGCTTGCCTAGGCCCAAAGAAAGTATTTTGCAGTGAAGTTCAGCCCAAAACAGTTTTCTAAGAGATTTTTTTCCCATTTTTTTATAAGAGATTTTTTTTCTATTTATAACCCCATGGTTATGACTTTCTTCTTCGTTCCCAGGGGAAAACTTAGATATTCACAGTTTGATAAAACTTCTGAATGTTTGCCCTGGGACACGGAAAAAGAGCCTCTGGAGACCCATTAAATAATTAAATGACCAGGAAAGTAAAATTATTCCAGAGCAGTAGCCTAAATGTTTGCATAGTGTTTGACAGAGGACAATTTCTTTTACTCATAGCAGTAAATTCATTTCCACTAATTTTTCTATACTATTTTTCAAGGATGTGATTTATTTAAAAAAATGCCTTGGAAGGGATGTGCTCCCCCTTCAGACAAACCTTTTTCTGCTAAACTTCTGTACACAGAAATCTCTAGTCTGCTGCTGGAGAATGGTAGTCATATTTTCTTCTTTCTCATACAATAACTGTATAATCTGTTAAAAATACACATTTTAGACACTTACCACTAGTGATCTTGATTTATTAATTTGAAATTATTTTCATCACAGCAGTGGCTTGTTTGACTTCTGGCATCTCTACAAGAAGAAGGTCCTTTGTGCATGTAGCTCAGATAGCACCTGGAAAAGAGGAACTGCAAAGAATGTGATATAAAGTAGTTGACTTGGTTTATTTTCATCATGTACCTAGTTAGGATTTGATACATGTTTGAACCTGTGAGATTATTTCCATTCATTTTCAATCCAAGTAGAAAGGGGCCCTGTTTAATTCCATTTACATTGAACTTGGATTATAAAATTTACATCATGCCATGGAGGTATCTCTCAAAGTCAAACCCTTCCTGATGAATTGTTGCTAACAAGTACAGTCCCAGCAGCTCCTTCAATTTTTGTGTAAAATATATGTTATTGGTCATATTTTTCTTCATGCGAGGGCTGTTTTAGCCATAAAGGCTAAGAAGGCAGGACTCACTTAAAGAGATTGCTTTCAAATGTGTTATGAGGATGTGAGTTTGTATGGAAAACTGTGACAGTAATGGAAAAACTGGGGAGTCCCAAAAGGGTGAAAGGGTTGGAAATGACCATATATGCACTGTCACTTCTCAAACATAATCATACACAAATGAGCAAAAATGATCCAGGAAATCGAATTTGTAACTAACACTCAGGAGCTTCACAATCCTTGCCCTCAAATCAGATTTATTTGGGAATATCATCATAGGAAATATGGACAAATACAGCAGAATAAAAACACACAGTTGTAGATTGCCTCCTTGAAAATTAAATAAAAAAAATACTGGCTAGATCATAA